TTGATGCAGCTAAGGTACATTTGTTTAAAAAAAAAACAAAAAAAAAAAAAAACAGACTTTCAAGCAAACCCTTTGTATTGTAGATAAGAGGAAAAAGACTGAGCATGCTCACTTTTTTATATTAATTTTTACAGTATTTGTAAGAATAAAGCAGCATTTAAAATCGCCCCCGCTTCCTAACTTCGCAGTGACTCCCGCAGCCGGTGGCGCCGGGACCCCGTTGGGGAAGGGTGAGTCCCAGGATCTGGCCTGCGGCAAGCACCTGGGAGCCAGGGGACCAGGTGTGTGTCCACGTGGGGGACCCTAGTTTCTGAGAAGAGAGGGTCTATTATTTTGCTTTTGAAACATGCCAAAGCCTACCTCCTTACGTTTTCTTTAACTTGCCTAAGGTCGGTGCAGCATGGCTACGGCTCACGTTGAGCGAACAGCTTTCCAGGGGAAGGTGTTCCCAAAAGAGGTACCACGAGTTGGGAGGGGCTGGCTGATTTGGGGACCTGCTGAGAGCATCTGCAGAGCTCCCTAACTTTAGATGGCTGCTTCAGGGGTGAGGGGTGGAGGAGGCCCAAGCTGTCCAGAAGCCTCGTCTGAATCATCTTTGGCTCTCAAGGACCTTTGCTTTCACTTTCCTCAGTCTTAAGGACAAGCCAAGTAGATTTTCAAAGTGCTCAAAAAAGTGCAAAATTAGCGGCCATGCAGGAGATGAAAAGGGCAGTCGCACAGCTCCTTAAACCAGCTGTCTTGCTGGGAATTGCAGTGTTTCAATGCTTAATCCAAACAAATGGAGCCATCGGCCTTTCCTCCAAAAAACTGGGTATCTTTTCTTGCTCTTCGTTGCTACGTGTATATTATGTAATTAATTAAGCATAGCCTGTCATGATTATATTGCTATGAGGAAAGAAACACAAAATGTTTAGTCCCCAAAGATAATTAATTCATGGTTTTATGTGTAATTTAAATCTCTGCCAACAAAGCAAATGATAACTGCTCCTTAAATCTGTGTGATCTTTGCTCTCCGCACATTCCGGGTATGATTACACAGGCCAACGGTGGATGAGCTATTGCTACCTCTATTCATACAGCTGTAACGACACCAGCTAACTTACCTACACTTTATGGGTAACAGTTTCACCTCTGACATAGTTCCCCAGAACATTGAACTGCAAAATGTTTATGTTGTACATTTATTGTAGCAGAACAGTATCGTCACAATATGGGACAAAGGTTTAAGCTTCATAGGGTGTTCTTTG